TCTCTGAGGATATCTGGTCTTTCTTGGCTTTTTTTTGTTTAGAGCTTTATTAGCGAGAATAATATCTTTCTCGAAGTTCTCGAAACTTCTCTTAAGTGTTTGCAATTCTTATGAAGCTTGTTGTGCTGCCATGAATTTAAGTGAACTGCTCTAAAAATGTTTAAGCCTGCGTGAACTTCTGGACTTACGTGAAAACCTCAATAATTTTCTTAACATCGTTGAAGATGCTTATTTCAAATAACAGACAGTAGTGGTAATTTTTATACGATAGAACATCTCTAAAGTTCTCTGAAAATCTGGGAACTTCCTGAAACTTTCCGCTAATTTAGTGAAACGAATGGAACTGAACGCCCCGGATTTTCCCTTTGTTTTAGGAGCTTTACTAAACTTATTGGAGAAGCTCCCAAAAAGTTCCTGAAGTTCTCGGATCTTCCCTTAAGTTCAATAGACTTTTATGAAGTTCTCGAAATGGAACTTCTTTAAGCTTCCGCTGCGAAATAATTAATGAAGTTCGATGATTTTCACTGAAGTTCTCAAGGTTTGTCAAAAGTTCAAAATGCCTGTACGATGCTGGATCCCCGGTGGTTTTCCTGGTTTCGGCAGCAACACTAGCTTCTGTATCTTCTACCTGTCATGGAAGTGACCCCCGTCCAGGCATTTCTGCAGCACCATCCTGAACACTTTCAACGCTACGTTGGGGATTCCATCCGGACCGGGAGCTTTCTTCACCTTCAATCCTTTCGCCACTGCTACGAGTTCTTCGTTGGTGACTTCGATGTTATCTCCCTCTCCTTCTCCGTACGGTGTAGGTGGGTCGTGCTTCGGGAAAAGTCCTTCCACGATGACTTTCAGCTTCTCTGAGCACATTTCACCGGGCCCCAGGGGTTGGCATCAGCGTCCCGACACAGCTCCTTAAAACAGTTTAAGTTGCTCTGCTTTGTCTCTCGTTTAAGTGCAGCCCTGGCCGCTTGAAACACTCATCTTCGTGCCTCTCTGTCTGCTTCTGTTCTTGCTCTCTGAACACGTCTTCTGGCTCTGAGACAACTAGCGTGGAGGGTGCTAAGTGCCTCGTTTCACCAGTAAACTGGACGGCGTCTGTTATTTGGATCCAGTTTCTTCGACATGGTCGTGTTACATGCTATCACTAACGTTTCTGTCAGCTCGTTCTTGATCAGAACCATGAGGCTCCTGTCCACACGGAGTGCCTCAACGAAAAGATCCTTTGTCGAAAGCCTTCGTCTTCCACTTCCGGTCACAAGTTCTGCCACAGTATTCCGTTGGCCGATGCCATATCGTATCGCCTGATGATGATCGTCGCTATGGGTATATCCTTCGCACACTCTCCAATCCATGTTTGCCACGGACTGCAGATAGTAACGTCGATAGTGGATTCCCGGCCATCTCTGCGAAAAGTGCTGCTGGTGCCTTCGTTGGCCAGCATAACTTCCAGTTTTGACAGAGCTTCGAACAGACTGTGCCCTTTTCCATTGCAACATCTGCTTCCCCACTCCACTGCCCAAGCATTGAAAACTCCTCCGATGACAACCGGTCGTCGTCCACTCAGCTCTTCGGTAAGCCCATGCAGCATCTCATGGAACTGCTCCATCGTCCATATGGGGGGTGCGTAACAACTACATATGAAGAGCTCCGTTAATTTTGGCGATCACGAAACCTTCGTATGAGCTCGCAACCACTTCTTGAATGGGGTATCAGCCCATAACTTGTATAGCAGCCATCCCAGCTCTATCCACCACCCAGTTACCGTTATCGGGAGGGACTCGATACGATTCCGCAATGATTGCAACGTCGCACTTAGTTTCTGTTGTTTCAGGTGTCACAATGATTGAGGTTTATTTGGGTTACCTCCATTACTGTTGCCCTACCATCACCTTTTTGTATGCTAGGCATTTGAAGCCTCCCGTCGTATGATCGTTTCCGTCCTCTTTTCTGCAGAGCATACACCTCAGTTGCTTCGTGCAGCCTCTTGCAATATGACCTTTCTCCTCGCATTTCCTGCATAGATCAGATCTGTCAGGGCTATTGCAGTCCCTCGCCTGGTGACCGAAACTCATGCACTTGAAGCATCGCTCTCGTTGCTTGGTAACGAGCACCCTCAACGCACTTCTCAGCTCCTCTTCTGTGGTGATCTCGTCCAGATCCCTGCACTCGACCACTGTCGATAGGGATAGAGCTCTAACGCTCGCCCTTTCGCCAAGAGACTTTTCGTCGAGCTTCTTGAAGGCAGAGCTCTTGATCGTAGGATCTTTCTTCAGCTCAAAGAGCATCTCGCCTTTCTGGGTGCGCCTGGTTTTCACCACGTTCTCTCCTAGTTGCTTCAACTCCGGATCCTCTCGAACCTTCCGGAGACGTGCTACATACGACGTTTTGTCTTTGTTTCGACGATCAGCCGCTTTTACTTCCTTACCGTCAAGACGATGTTGTCCGCAAAGCCAACGATCTCAACTCCTTTGGGTAGCTTGAGCGTCAGCACGCCATTGAACATTCCGTTCCACAGCGTGGGATCTAGAATGCAGAGGTAGTCTGGAACCCTCATTCTATGGAGCGCCTTGGCGATGGCCTCTCAGCTGGCGATATTGAATGCATTCTTCACATCAATCGTAATCACGGCGCAGTATCGATTTCCTCTGCGCTTCTGTTTGGAAACTTTCTCGGCTCTGTCAATCACTGTCCGAATTGCATCCACCGTCGATCTTCCTTTCCGGAATCCAAACTGCCTCTCCGACAATCCGTGTTCACTCTCCGTGCATTTCGTCAGCCTGTTCATGATGATCCTCTCCAAGAGCTTTCCGACAGTATCCAGCAAGCATGTTGGCCTATACGATCCAGGATCCCCCGGCGGTTTTCCGGGCTTCGGCAACAGCACAAGCTTTTGTACCTTCCATCTATCAGGGAACTGACCTTCGTCCAGACATTTCTGCAACACCATCCTGAACATGTCCAGGAACGTCTGGATCGCCGCCTTCAACGCCACGTTGGGAATTCCATCCGGGCCGGGAGCTTTATTCGCCTTCAACCCTTCCGCTGCTGCTATGAGTTCCTCGTTGGAGACTTGTTCAACGCTGTATCCATCATCCTCGCCATATGGTGTAGGTGACGAGCTCGTTGGGTCATGCTGTGCGAAAAGTCCCTCCACGATGACTTTCAGCTTGTTGGGGCACATTTCAACCAGCATCGTTCGACCCCTGATCTTCGCCATCGTGACTCGGTATGCGTTGCCACAGGGGTTGGCATCGGCATCTCGGCACAGCTCCTTGAACTGTTTGACTTGCCCAGCTTTATCTTTATTTTTAGTGCAACCTTGGCCACTCGGAACACCACCCTGTGCTTCTCTCTGTCTGCATCAGTTCTTGCTCCCTGAACGCCCCTTCTGGCTAGAAGACAACTAGCACGGAGGATGCTAATTTTCTCTTTCCACCAGTAAGCTGGACGCCGCCTGTTCGTTGGCTCCAGTTTTCTCGGCAAAGTTGTGTCACATGCCCTTGCTAATGATTCGGTCAACTCATTCGCGCTTAGGCCCGGGACGCTACTGTCTACCCTTAGAGCTTCGATGAAGAGATCCTTATCGAATGCCTTCGTCTTCCACTTCCGTTCGCTGATACTGTACCGGATCGCCCGATATTCACTATGGGTGTACTCTTCGCACACTCTCCAGTTCATGCTTGCCATAAGCGACGTCGATAATGGATTCCCTACCATCTTTGCGGAAGGTGCTGATGGTTCCTAAATTGGCCAGATTGACGTTCAACTTTGCCAGAGCTTCCAGCAGGCTATACCCGCTTGCGTTGGTACAGATGCTTCCCCAATCCAGTGCCAAAGCATTGAAATCTCCTGCGATGACAACTGTTCTCCGTCCCATGAGCTCTCCGGTGAGCCCATCTATCACAACAATGAAAATTAACTCTTAAACAACAATAATTTATGGTGGTCCTGAAAAGAACCGTTTTGTCGTTATGATTGAGTAATGCTGAGCTATTAGGATGTTCCAAACAGATGCGTAGCTGTATGTTGTTTGGAACGAGGGTGACGCGCTTGGCATAGATGGCCCACAGTCACTCACGACGAGCAACTGAATCCGGGCAATTGCGCTCAACCTTTCTGCTGCTGCTGTTGCTGCTGATGATGACCAACCGGACACCACCACACACGGTGATTGAATAAGCACCGTTCGGCGAGACCGGATGGAATACGATTTTGAAATCTGTGTTAGGGAAAGTGCTTTTTGCAGGAAATCGGTGATAAGTTTGATCATCATAGCAACAGTTGGACATTTGTGTCATTTTCAATAGTGAGATATTGCAAATTGATAAAATTTTCATTTTAGAAAAATTTCCAATCGATTGGCTTGTTTAGAATTAAAATACATCCACTATTGACACTTTTAAAAGTGGTCAACACCTGACCACTTTTCGTAACGCGCTCAATTTTGGTTTTTTGAATTGGGGTGCCCCCAATATGTTGCCGAAAGACGTATTCCTATATCAAAATTACTGAAATTCAAGGGGTTTGAATACTTGCTTCGCTCTCAAAGCTCACAATCTATTCAAGTTTCTGAAGAACCTGATATCACATAGAGAACAAGTCTTGTTATTCCAAATACCATTTTGTTTTCAGTTGTTATCGCATTACTAATTTAGTTATCCACTTTGACAAACTTGTGTTATAATTCTTGTTATGTTGGCTGTTTATTCAACCGAAATGATGACATAATCAGTTATCATACCTTGATAAGCGGGTTTCAGAACTTGATATCAATTTTTTAATAAAACTTCACTCGGGTACTGTGTAGTTTGTGAAATGGACTGCTCAATGCAATTTTCAACTAAATTCATATCAGGATTTGAGGAGTTCGTAACCGTAATGTCATACAATTTCGTGGGACATGACATTCTACGGAATGAAGTCCATAACTTTTGCCTTATTTACCCTACCGATTTCAAACAAACCATTCTAATGCCACTCCCATTTCGTTTCTCCCACAGATCCCCATCGTGCCGACGATCGTCAACGACGACGACAACAACGGCAACAACGATGACGATCTGCTGGTGCCATCGTCTCCGCCGCGACGGCTCAGTCGAAGCAGCATCGATCTGCGGGATTTGGAGTACAAGAACGAAACCAAAATCAAACCGTCGGACAGCGTCAGCTCCATCTTTCCGCTGAATTACGAGAACAACCTCCGGTACTCGGGCAGTGAACCGATTCACGTGAAGGAGAACCAACAGCGGAGGCCTTCGCGGAAGGAGAGCTTCAAGCAGATCAACTTCTTCCAACCGTTCTTCTCGAAGAACAATCTGCTCAAGTCGTACATCAAGGGCAGCAGCTGCAAGGGCGGCGATAACGAAGGAAGCAATCTCAACAATAGCAATACCAATAACCGGACGGCTTCGGAGAAGAAGCTGAACAATAAGAATAATGACAATCGTTCCAGTAACAACATTATCGATCTGATCAATGTAACGTCGTCGCTGAACAAGGACAGTTCGGTGGCCGAGAAGGAGGTAAACACGCACAAACGGCACCAGATTGCGGCCAGTGAATCGGATTTCCTGACCATGATCCAGAAGCAGAGGTCCCAGCGGTTGGGACTGGGCAAGAACAGTGCCAGCATGAAGAAGAGCAGCCACAAGGATGGGGTGAAAGACGATCAGTTGATCTACGCGTTGAGCGATTCAGACTTCACGGCTGCGTTCCAAGGAGATGAATCGATTCTAAAGAGTTTTAAGAATCTGAAGGCATGTTCCGAGCAAAAAGATGGTATTTTTAAGATAGTGCTGAATGGTGACGGCGGGTCTGCGGCGGCTATCGGTATCAACGACACGCCGGATATCCTGATCGGCTGCTTCGATCACGGATTCAGTGGGACCCGGCCGTTGAGTCCAACCAGTCCCAAAGAGGTTGTGTCCGCTTGTGCAGAGGAGAACGTCCTCATCAAATCATTCAATCTCAAAGTTGTGAATAGTAGTAGTATTACGGCAATCCAAAGTAGCACAGTTAGTGATAGTAATCTTAGTCACGCCGAAGGCAGCTACGTGATCGATCTGATATCAGCAATCGCGTCCGCGGGTTCTCCACCGCATTCGGCCGGACTGCTTCCGGAAGCAATCTCCCGTGAATGTGACCGACGCAGAAATTGTGATAAACCTCCTAGTAGTAGCATTGTCGATAGTCTGAAACCGCTGGCGACACTCACCGATTCCGGCAGTCCGGTGAACGTGCTGAGTGAAGCTTCCACCATATCTCTAGATCTAGTGGCGATGAGTCCGAGCACAAAACTGCAAGTTCCTAGCGCTACCGTCGGGAGCACCGTTCCTTCTTCAGGTCCAACGAACGAGGACAGTGTCAACCCGGTGGATCATCCCGTCGATCCGGGTGAGGTCATAAACAACCCGGACATCATAATCGAAAACATCCGAAACGACAGCTTGAACAATCAACAGCAGACGACGACGACGACGACGACGACGATGATGCCACCGTCGATTATGACTCCGTCCCCGATTCATCACCCGGGACTGCAGCGCAAGCGACAATCGTCCACCGTCACGTACAATATTAACGTGATTAACTTTAGCGATAATCCCGATGATGACAGCAGTTATCAGATGAACAACCGTAGCAGTGATCAACGGACGGGTGGCGGCACGGGGCCCGGAGCAGGTGCAAGGTCCAACAGTTCAACGAGTGAGTATCGATGTTGGTGTGACGGTAATGACGATTGAGCTCATCAGTCTGTGAGCTGTGTGATGAGTGGATTTATATATATATATCTTTATATGGTGCTGTCTGTTTTTTTCTTTCGATTTCCGGTGTGTTTTGATGTGTGTCTTGTTTTGATTTGTTATTGATTCGATCTTTTTCCCTCTAACATATTTGATTCCCTATCGTAAGCTGTTCTTTTTTGCCGCTGATTTCCGCTTGTATAGCATCCATCATTGAACCTTTTGCTACGTATATATATATGATGTTTTGTTATGGTCTAACACAAATAATTCGATTCAGAATGCTGAAAACAGTTCAACCTGTGCGGTCAAGTATGTAGTATTGATAATTCCGAAGGAGAAAGGTAGAACTCGTATTTAATTAACTACTCGGTAGTATATTACTTTTCCATAAATAATTACAGCTTCTAAATGCAAAGCTGTCAGATCCTCAGAAATTCAATTGAATTTCTGCTGTGGATAAATATTCTGTCTTTTAGATATCAGTCTTGCAATGTGGCTTATTTTTTAAGTCTTATTCCTATTGACAAGTATGAAAAAAAAAACATTGCTTTCAAAAGCTTCATCTTCTTCCTGGCTTTGACGCTCTTACGCCTACTCTCAAGTTAAGATCTGAGGTCACGTATCCGCCACTTTAGTTGGTTCATTGAAAAACTAGTGTTTAAACCCAATTATCTCTTATATGGTAAAGGTGACCGAAAAATCCAACTGGCAATCTTTTCTAATTATGCCAAAGAATATTACGTGAAATATTTAAAGTCCTGGGAGATCCAAATTACAAAAAAAAAATCATGTTTTTTTTACAATTTCTGGCACTACATTCCAGTGATTTTATGCATTTTTCTCAGCGTTTTTAGTTGCTAGAGAAAAATGATCAATAATTCATTCTGAAAAAAGTTTTGTTTTTCCCTAAGGATCGTTTAAGCATAAAAAAACATGCGTGTTTTCGCTATAATTCTTGAGAAATTTGACTTCAAATGTACATGAATTTTTAAATTGGGAGTAAATCTTTGAGATAATACTTTGTCATTTTCTCTGAGTAGAAGACAGAATGGAGCATATACCATAGTCGAGTAATCACTGTGTTGTCAGTAGCAGGTTATGTTTCTTTTTCGCGGTGCGCACCGTTTAGTAGTGTATAAATCGCAAAGGAAAAAAAACTGCTCGAATTTGTAAACTAAAGTTCATAGTGTCTGGTGTCGGTCTGAACGTCTCATTCATTTTTTTTTATAAAAAAAAACTAGCTTTTGTTCAAATGAAACAGCATCAACGAAAATGCCATGAATCACAGCCAGTAGAAACACCGTCACCAAAGCGTCCGACTGACACATCTTGTGCTGATAATGTGGTGGTGAAATAAGCGGCAGTGAGGCCAGTAAATATTTCTTCGAGAACGATGCTGAAACAGTTGATGAGCCAACCAACGAAATTGATTGCAACCGATATTTTCCTGTGTGTTTCGTTAATCTTTATTTTCCTGTATTTTTCAATGAGTTTAAAAAACCTGTTACGAATCAAATTAGATTTCTGAGTCAATTTTTGTTCTTAAAGTTTGTATCAAGTGTGGTTTTGTAATTTTTTTGTCCACTAGACTTGCCTTAACAAGCAGGCTAACACTAGCGTGCACAGAAATCTTGTTAAGGAGGGGCAATTTTTTTCTTTTTATGGTCCATTTAATCTGGGGATGGAGAGTACTCCAAAGTGCGTGGTGGATGGTTTTGTCGACCCACCACTTTTTCCCTACTGTTCAATTTTGGTTCATCTTCTTCAATGCAAACTGCTTTCAGACAGCCAATGGAATTGGCAATTCAATCCCATCATTATCAAAATATCTGATGACAATCACCAACTGCTCGTGGGGGCCATAATCGCTTGTCTCATCTGCAATGATTGCCACTGGTTTTCTTCGCAAGGTTTTCGCAATGTTCCGGAACATTACACTGTGCAACGATGTAATCATGTAATTTTGAATACGGTTACTTGTGTACTGGCAATTTTTGGCACCTTCCGGCAAGTGTTTTTCCAGCACAGGATCGTAGTTAGCCAACTAGGTGGCACACTTGCCGCTCCTTCCGAATGTTCACGAAGTGGTCGGCCACCTTTGCAAAGTATGCGCACAATATCGATGAAACGTTCCAGTATATAGCGATTTTGTAGCCGCTTTGTCTCACTAGCAGCAATCATAGCTGTTTTTTGGTGGTCCAGTTCTTCGTCGATACCCTTCCTGGTTTTGAAATTCTTCCACGCTTTCATACTACCAACATGTAGTTACATTTTACTATAACCGTTACGAGTACGTTGAACTTGGTCATTTGCAGCGAAAATTGTAGTTCAATTTTTTTCATATTTTTGACCTAAAGGCCAAGGCTAATAGTATCATTAAAAAGGTTTAAAAACATGTAACGATTGGAACAAAAGCGCATAAAACTATTTTGACAAGCGAGTACAGGATTGTTAACGGAATGATGACTTGTGCGAAGAATTGAGCATGTCAACCCTGTCCCAGAGTACCGCAAGTCGGGGTGACAGGAAATGATGCCGAACGTTCAACATGTTTTAAAGATGAATAAAAAAGGACAATACCGAACTTATTGCAACGCACATAAACAGCTGTAACTTTTTAACAACGGTAACAAATGTCTTTGAGATCAGCTATGGCAGATTATGCACGAGTACGGATTTCCGGATAAACTGACGCGATTGGTCAAGGCGACGATGGATCGAGTGATGTGCGTTGTTCGAGTATCGGGGACACTCTCGAGTCCCTTTGAATCTCCAAGGGGGCTACGGCAGGGTGATGGACTTTCGTGTCTGCTGTTCAACATCGCGTTAGAAGGTGTGATCAGAAGAGCTGGGATAGACACGAGTAGCACGATATTCAGGAAGTCCATCCAGCTCCTTGGCTTCGCCGATGACATTGACATCATGGCACGGAACTTTGAGATGATGGTGGAAACGTACATCAGACTGAAGGCTGAAGCTAGACGGATTGGACGCATCAAAGACAAAATACATGAAAGGAAGAGGTTCTAGGGAATGTTAGCCTCCCACCCCGAGTTCAGATTGACGGTGACGAAATCGAGGTGGTCGATGAGTTCGTGTATTTGGGCTCACTGGTGACCGCCGAAAATGATACCAGCAGAGAAATTCAAAGACGCATTATGGCAGGGAATCGTGCCTACTTTGGACTCCAGAGGACGCTCCGGTCGAATTACATTCGCCGCCGCACGAAGTTGACTGTCTACAAGACGCTTAGACCGGTGGTCCTGGACTATGCTCGTGGAGGACCAACGCGCCCTTGGTGTTTTCGAACGGATGGTGTTGCGTTCCATCTACGGTGGAGTGCAGATGGATGACGGAACGTGGAGGAGGCGAATGAACCACGAATTGCACAAGCTGCTGGGAGAACCATCCATCGTCCACATTGCAAAAATTGGGCGACTACGGTGGGCTGGGCACGTCGTAAGAATGCCGCACGACGACCCAGTGAAAATGGTTCTAGAAAGCGACCCAATAGGAACAAGAAGAAGAGGCACGCAGCGGGCAAGGTGGATCGACCAAGTAGAAGGTGACCTGCGGACCCTTCGCAGACTACGAGGCTGGCGAACTGTGGCCATGGATCGAGTAGAGTGGAGACGACTTCTTCGGACAGCAGAGGACAACAAGGCCTTAGCCTGATTGGTAAGGCAAGGTAACAAATGTCTTGAAATTTTCATAGAAGACAAATTCCAAGTAAGACAACAATAGACCGAGGTTCAATGGCAACCTAATACCCACTTTTCAATTAGGGAATCGAGAAGCTGTCTTTGAACTTTGTACAGTTGCGAAAAATGCCATCCTCAGAATTTTTTGAGATTCTTTTCGAAAATTTTAGAACTCTATGAGCTCTTTTAAAATTCTTCTCAGAAGTCCTCTGGAATTATTTTTAGAACTCTTCTTCACATTCACTTAGAACACCTTGAAACTGAAATTCCATTAGAGTTTCAGAAGAATTTCCTCTGTATTATTCAGAAATTATTCCCGGAATGAGCTAGGAATTATCGGTACTTCCTTGAAATTTTCCTCAAAATCCCTTTGGAATTTTACTCAAAATTTAATTTTCTCTGTATTCTTTTCGGAATAATCTTGGAACTATCTGCAGGGTTCACTAAAAATTATTCACAGAATTTTCTTGGAATACTCCCCAGAAATCCTCAGTTCGGTTGAGATTTGTCAAATTTAATTCAGTATAACAAGACCGCTGATGGAAAACGATTTATTGAAAATGAAGTCCGAAAAACGTTTGACTTCGTCAGGCACGTTCGTATTTCTATTTTTAATGCCTTGTATTGATGGCTGCTTGAACATGATTAGATGCTACAAGATAATTTGTTTTATATAGTATTTTTCCACAGAGATGGAAGCTGCACTTCACAATTCACTTTCTTCTAAGCACCTCACGTTAAGCCAATTTCATAAGCACATTGTTTTTATCATGGCTTGCTAGGATCATGATGTGAAGCCGAAAAAGCTATACAGTGTTGTTTGAATGAGAGATGACGTGTTGTAGAGGTTGGATGTTGTTGGTAGTATGGCAAATGTATTTCTAACATGCCAAGCGTAGAACCTATCAGAACCAAATGAAACCACTTGTATTTTGTAGTTGAAAGGCATACTTTTTGAATGAAGATGGTTTGGCTTGCCCGTATTTGCCCGTTCTCCAGATATTTGGCGTAGAAAATGACATATTTTTATGTTAAAATATTGAATAACTTTTGATAGGTTCATTTTAACAACCTAATGTCTGCTAGTAAAATGCGTGTTTTGATGATATATACACCTTTTTAGAACAAATCGTGCTGCTAAAATAAAATTTTGAACATTTTTTCTAACAAAAAATGATTTTTGAGGGAGTTTTTATAAAAACGTCAGTTAACTCATCATACATTGAGTAAACGATATCGACATTTTCAACAAAGTTGC